GTTCTTGGCTCATCTGACGCCGTCGGAAACCATCCTGGGGGCCTCCCTGGGCCAAGTTGGGGCCCTCTTGGGTCACTTCAGGCCCGTCTTGGAGACCGTCCTGGGCGTCTTGAGGGTCTTGCGGCCCGTTTGAGGCCCTCTTGGGGCCATGTTGAGGGCCTCTTGGGCTGTCGGGAGGGCACGTCCGAGGCCTCCTGGGAGGTGTTGGGACCATCTTGGTGGCCCTTGCGGCCGTTCTGGACCGCTGGAACGCCGAAAATGAGCAAAGGCCAAAATCTGTCGAAAACCGTGGGGGAATCCATGAGTTTGGTTTCGGGCCTTACTGGAGGGCCTCTTGGGTTCCTCTTGGGCCATCTTGGCGCCATCTTAGGCCGTCTTGGCTGCATCTCGGAGGCATCTTGCGGCTATCGTGGGCTCTCCTGGGCCCATCTGGGCAGTTTGGGAGGCCGTCTTGAGCGTCTTGGGGGATTTTTGGGCCGCCTGAGACCCTGGTGGGCCGTCTTGGGGCCCTCTTGGGCTGTCATGGGGCCATCTTGGAGGCCTCTTGAGTGATCGTTGGGCCATCTTGGAGACCATTGGGCCGTCTTGGGCCGTCGACAGGCCAAAAAGGAGCACATGTCGCAATCTTTCAAAAACCTAAGGAAAATCACCGAGCCACTCTGGCTCAGGCCAGCGGCTCGAGGCGCAGGCCTCCGTGACAACAGACAACGCTCCAATGTTCAACACGTGTCATTAATATCGGTCATTTGTGACGGTGGCACGTGGAGCAGGATTGGGCCGACACGGAGGACGACGAGCCCTTCCTCGGCAAGCTCGTGAGCTCCAACTTGGGAACTGCCCTTGCGTCTCAAGACCGCCCCATGTCCAGCGAGTTGAGCCAGGTGCTGCTCTCGTTTGACCTCTGCAAGCCGCCCGAAGAGCGCAGGCCGCCCGCAAAGGCTGCACGCTGCCGACTGGTGATAACACGAGCGGGCTGATCCCACTGACGCCCGCAGCCGCCCGCACACCTCTCAGCGCGAAGTCCAAGCCATTCGCACCGTGCCGTTCGCCCCTGGGTTCTACCCGGTGGCCTCTCCTGCCTGCCAATGGGGGGGTGGCCATGCTTTTCGGTGCCCCAACCAAGCCCATAGACCACAAGAGCAAGGCAGATGTCAAGGCAGACGAGGATGGGTACACCACTGGGCTACACCACTGTCCAGCTTCCCCGTGAAGTACAACCGGACAACCACGACAAGTTGATCGATCTGTTGGACGTCCTCGACTACACGGGCAAGTTCATCTTCGTCTGCCTCCCAATGGACCCTGAGTATTCTGACGGATATGGGGTTTTTTCCGAAGTATGGGGCATTCACCAGGGTCGTTCCGAAGGACGGGAGGTACGAGAACACATGTTCGGCGCGCAGCTGCACTTAGGCGGCCCGGCGCTCACGATTGGCGGCCTCTGGACTGCTCTGTGAGCAGGATTCCGTACCATGATGGCGACGAAATTTGCGTCCGTTGCAATGGCGAGGTCGAGACGACCATGCATCGACTGGGCAGCTGCCCTTGCAACGCGGCTCCACGCGGTGTGCTGGACGACCGCGCGCTTGGGAACCATTTCCTTGATGGTCTTCCCCCTTGTCTGGCACGGTGCGGCTCGATCCCGCATGGCCTGGGGACGGGTGCATCACCGACGCTGCAGGAGGCCAAGCACATCTCCGAGTACCTTTGGCACGCGAACGCCATTGTTACTTGCTGCGGGGCGTCGAGACCAACCAGTGCTGCATGAGCTGCATCAGTGCCGGTCTCAACCAGTGGAGTGTATATCTATTATATATACACATATGTACGTATGTTTGTTTATGTAGGTATGTATGTATGTATGTCTGTATGTATGTATGTATGTATGTATGTATGTATGTGTGCATCGCGTTGCTCTTCCACCTCTGTCACAACCTAAACCGCGGGCGCCCACAGCGGCAAGCCCAGGGCCCGGGGGAGGACCTCCCGGAGCAGCGACACGCCTGCGCAGGAAACAGTTCACGCAGCAGGTTGCCCCCGCCGAGCTTGGAGTGCACGATGCCGTCGCTCTTTCGTATGAGGGCTCGGCGACTACACTGCTGGATACCGACATTCCTGGTAGGGGTCCTATTGTTGCCTCATTTTTGAGGGCTTCAGTCGGGGATTAATGCGGGCTCACCGTCTTGGACCCGAGCGTTCATGGACACACCGGTGCTGACCACCATTCAAAGAATGTCGGTGAACTGTATGTTTTATACTTCGTTTTGTCTTGGGTTCGTGGTCATGTTGCTTCTTCGCCGCTTTCACACCTAAGCGTCATCTAGTATGATTCGGGGTACGCGGCTGGCGTGGTTCAGCGGCGCGCCTGGAAGCGGACGGACCTTCGGCTCGTTCTTCGTATTCGTCACATTCTGATCAGGTGGCTCGTCATGCTATTTTCCGGAAGATGGTAAGCCATATTGGACAGTACTTGAACGATCGTGTTAACCAGTTGGCCGAATGCGGCGCTAATGGGATCGCATGTGGCTTTGTTGATGTTAATCGTTGGGCTGGCTCCGCTGGCTAACCTAATTATCTGCTATGAGCAGAGGAAGCCCTTGTTCAGTTTCGTTACATGCGTTTGTCAATATGGCAACTGCCGCTGGCGCTCTGCGCCTGAAGGAGTTATTCGACGGTGCCGTTGGAAATCTGATCACGGATGACAACCCTTGCGAAACGGATAGAAGCTTGGTGCAGGGTCGAAGCGCAGACGTCAAGCATTACGGGAACGCACCTGCCATGCACAAAGTGGTGCCAGATGAGTTCAGGCCCGCGCTCTTGCAGAACGGGCAGCAGCAGCCTTTTCCAGAGCCCACCGCGGCCCTCAAGCAGCTCAGGTCCTACCAGACAAAGGAGAAGGCGCAGGAGGACCCGAAGATTTCAATTGATTCAGATTTCGTGGTGATGCGGTAGATTCGCACATGGTGGCCTGCTGTGCAGGAGCTTTGGCAGGGCCCAGCGGCACGCCTCAGGGTCAGTTTCGCTGGGTCGTGGCCACCGCGAGCCCCGTGAGAGTAGTCGAAGTTCCAAAACAGCAGGTAGTTTGGACATTGCGGGCACAGTTCCCGCCGCACGGCTCGCTGACGCACGATCGTCCGCAATGTTGGACACGGCAGCGTTTGCTTTCGTATCGATTGTGCATCTACAGGACATCCGCACGAAAGCATGGAACGACGCTCGGCGACAACAGTGTTGGATACCGACATGTATGGTTGGGGTCTTATTGTTGCCTCATTTCTGCGGGCCTTTGTCCGAGATTATTGCGGGTTCACCGTCTTGGACCCGAGCGTTCATGGACATACCGGTGCTGACCACCATTCAAAGAATGTCGGTGAACTGTATGTTTTATACTTCGTTTTGTCTTGGGTTCGTGGTCATGTTGCTTCTTCGCCGCTTTCACACCTAAGCGTCATCTAGTATGATTCGGGGTACGCGGCTGGCGTGGTTCAGCGGCGCGCCTGGAAGCGGACGGACCTTCGGCTCGTTCTTCGTATTCGTCACATTTTGATCCGGTGGCTCGTCATGCTATTTTCCGGAAGATGGTAAGCCATATTGGACAGTATTTGAACGATCGTGTTAGCCAGTTGGCCGAATGCGGCGTTAAAGGGATCGCATGTGGCCTTGTTGATGTTAATCGTTGGGCTGGCTCCGCTGGCTAACCTAATTATCTGCTACGAGCACAGGATGCCCTTGTTCAGTTTCTTTACATGCGTTTGTCAATATGACAACTGCCGCTGGCGCTCTGCGCCTGAAAGAATTATTCGACGGTGCCGTTGGCCATCTGATCACGGATGACAGCCCTTGCGAAACGAATAGGACCTTGGCGCAGGGTCGAAGCGCAGACGTCAAGCATTACGGGAACGCACCTGCCATGCACAAAGTGGTGCCAGATGAGTTCAGGCCCGTGCTCTTGCAGAACGGGCAGCAGCAGCTTTTCCCAGAGCCCACCGCGGCCCTCAAGCAGCTCAGGTCCTACCAGACAAAGGAGAAGGCGCAGGGGGACCCGAAGATTTCAATTGATTCAGATTTTGTGGTGATGCGCTAGATTCGCACATGGTGGCCTGCTGCGCAGGAGCACGCCAGTTGTTCCAGATCTGGCAGGGCCCAGCGGCACGCCTCAGGGTCAGTTTCGCTGGGTCGTGGCCACCGCGAGCCCCGTGAGAGTAGTCGAAGCTCCAAAACAGCAGGTAGTCTGGACATTGCGGGCACAGTTCCCGCCTCACGGCTCGCTGACGCACGATCGTCCGCAACGCTGGACACGGCAGCGCTTGCATTCGCATCGACTGTGCATCTACAGGACACCGGCATGAAAAACGGCGCCCGGCGCAGACCCATACTCAGGCTAGCCGCCTGGGCAGGGTCGCCGTTTTTCGCCCATCTTCCCCAGGCTTCCTCCACTTGCCTCCCCCCCTCCTTCGCACGAAAGCAGCCTGCAGGTCGCTGTTTGGGCGCGAGTGCTCTGGCTCTTCCTCAGCGGGCAGCTGGCACGATTCCACTCCACGGGAGAACCCCCCCAAAAAAAACCAAAGGAAAATCATTGATTCTGACATCTTCGGTTGTCCTGAAAAACCTCTTGGAGGTCTCTTTTGCCGTCTTCGGGGCCTCTTTGGCCGTCTTGGGCCGTCTGAGGCCAACTTAGGCAGTCTTGGGTGCATGTTGGGCCGTGTTGGAAATAGATGCGGCCACCTTGGACTCTCTCGGGGTCATCTTGGCCGTGTTGGAGGCCATCTTGGGCGTCTTGGGAGCCATCTGGGACGGTTTTGGGGCTGTCTTGGGGGCCTCTTTGGCCGTCTGGGGCCGTCGGAGGGGCGAAAGGAGCAACCATCACATTCTCATAAAATTCATGTGAAGTCATTGATTTGGACCTCTCCGGGCCTTCCTGTGGATCCTCTTGGAGGCCTCTTAGTCCGTCCCGGAGGCATCTTGAAAGTTTCTTGGGCCGTCTTGGGCCATAGTAAGGCTATCCTAGGCCGCATTGGGTGCATCACGGGCCGTCTTGGAAGCCATCTCGAGCTAAAAAGCCGACGGGAGATGCGTCGCCCAGAGTTTCCAAGGTGGCTGGCGAGCTGGGCCGAAGCCTAAGGGGGGAGTTCGTTAGACAAGAATTCAAACAATGTTAGACATCTATCACGCCGGGAACCCCTGTGGCAAGCCAACCGGGGGCGGCGGATATAGTGGACTTCGGCCCATCCCGCTACCGAGCTTAGTTTGTGGGCCAGGGTCATATCAGTTGTCCTGTGGGGTCTCTTGGGGTGCCTCTCGGGGCGTCTACGGGTCCTCTGAGGGGCCCTTTCGGAGTACTCACCGAGTCGGGCGTCCAATCGGACCATGATCCCTGACTCGACTCTGCAGTGCCCAGCCCGTCGTCGTCCACCGCACTGTCGGAGGCGTTGGAAGATGTTGGCCAGCCGCCGCGCAAGAAGGTCGGGCGACGTGTGGGCGGAGGGGAAGCGCACGGTCGATCAACGCCGTGCAGGGAAGAGGAGGAGAAGGAAAGAGGAGGACGAAGAGGAATACGGACGAGGAGGAGAAGGATGAAGAGGAACGACCGGAGAAATAGGCGGGAGATAAGGAGGAAGGAGTGGAAACGTGAGATGAGGATTTGTTTGCGGCCTGGCCACCATCCACTGGTGGCGTCGAAGTCCCCGATCCCAGCAGATGCTACGCAAGCAAAGGCCAGGGACCCCCGTGTGGCGAGCCAAGGCCCGGGCGGCCTGGATAAAGAAGGAAGAAGAGGCGGAGAAAAAGGGACGGCAATACACAACCTCCTCCTCCTCCTCCTCCTCCTCCTCCTCCTCCGCCTCCGCCTCCGCCTTCTCCTCCTCCTCCTCTTCCTCCTCCTCCTCCTCCTCCTCCTTCTCCTCCTCCTTCTCCTCCTCCTCCCCGGAGCTCGCCGCCGAGTCTGCGGGGGAGGGGGGGGGAGGAGGCGCCCTCCCTCCCTCCCTACCATTCGACGAGCGACACAACCGTCTAGCTCACAGCACTGCACGCCCCAGTCCTGGATGCCAGAGTCGCGCAGCTGGCCCCCATATCTTGATGGACGTCGCGCTGCTTGTCGGCGTGTTGATCACAGCCGTGCTGCTCGCCATCTTTCTCGATCCTTTCATGGAAGCCCGAGTCGCGCTGCTCTTCCCATTGCGTGGTTAGATATCATACTGATTGTCGCCGCCGTACTGCTCACAGCCGCGGTGCTCGCACCACTGCTCGTCCCACGCTCAAATGTCGGAGTCTTGCTACTGTTCCCCACTCTGCCGCTGGGCGTCGTACTGCTGGTCGCAGGCGCACTGCCCCACAAAACGTGCTATTCGCCACACACGTTCCATTCCTGGATGCCAGCCTTTGTAATTCCCAGTCTTGGGTGTCAGAGTCGTGCTGCTGGTCCCCCTTCTACTGATTGGCCCCGCGTTGCTGGACGTGGCGGTGTTCTTTCGCCGTCGTCCGCCATACTGCTCACTCACAGTCGTGCCGCCCGCTTCACTGCTCGTCCACCTTTGGATGCCAGACTCTTGTTGCTGCTCCCCACTGTGCTACTCCAATTCGTGCTGATGGTCGCAGCCGTATTGCTCACAGACGTGTTGCTCGCCACATTGCATGTCCCCCTCCTGGTTGCCAGGGACGTGCTGCTGGTTCCCAGTTGACCGGGGAGGAAGGGAAGGGGGAACGAGGATGGCGGAAGGAAGAGAACGAGGGGGCCGACAACGAAGATGACGGCGGCACCGGCGGAGAAAGGAGAGGAGGAGGGGGGGCACGTACCCACAATGAGCAATCGTTGTGGGGCAGAAGAGTGGCCTGTGTTGGGGCTCTTATTTCTTTTCCTTATTCTCCTTTGACGGTGATGGGGAAAGTCCATGAGAGCATTGAACCTGATATGCAGCATTACCTTGGCACGCACAAGCCTGCCAGTGCGGCCGCCCAGCACATGGCCCGGGATGTTTTTGACTGGAAGATTGGAAAACACACGACCGTGAGAAATGGCGTTTGACAATCGCCATGGAGCACGAGAAGTTGGAGAAGTCTTCGTGTGTACTATAAGGATCTCTCTGGGCAAGGGCGCGTTTGCGGGTCCGCGCTTTGCGGGCCACCGCGAGAGCGATGGCCGTGATTTGAGCGGGCCCAACGCCAGCATCCGTGACCCACATTGTGTCCGCCGCCATGGCGCAAGGAGCTAGACGCTAGGCGCCCGCCCGTCACAGCTTTCTCGTCGTGTGTCGTCTCTCACTGTTGTCTTTTCGCCTCGTCCTTCCCGCTCTTTTCGGCCCTCTGGCCCAACCCCCCCTCTCCTCGGGAGTCCGTTACTTCTGTCGTGGCCTTCGGGCAGCGGCTGGAGTTTGCGCGGGTAAGGAGCCCGACGTCCTCGCACTTTCTCTTGATTGCTGTTGTGTGTTCATGGGCCCGGTGCGTCCCATTCGGTCCTTCCGACTCAGCGCGAGGGTCGCATTGCCGATCAAGGGCCTTTTGCTGACCGCTGGTTTTTCTCGACCATTGCGATGTTGCGAGCCATTTGATCCGAGGGGCAACCCAAGGCACTCCTCGGCCGCCGCCTTCTTTCCCCTTGCCTCCACTCACCTGCCATCCCGCTCTCCTTCACCCGCCCCCTGTCCTCCGTCGCGCCCTCGGCCGGCCTCAGGAGTTCTTCAGCAAGGGCTCCTTGGTCAGCCTAGTGGGCACGTGCAAGCGACTCGACCGAGCACTGGTGCTGGCGGCCCTCCAGCTTCTGCCAGGGGCGGGCAGGGAGGAAGGCGTGGAGGGCCGCAGGAGCAGAGGCAGTGGGCGGGGGGCGAAGGGGAAGGATAGCTGTGACTCTGGTTTCGGCCATCGGGGCGCCGCCTGGGGCCTCGAAACCCTGGTCACAACACCCTCCAGGAGGTGGCGGGGAGTGCGCTCTGATGGGCTGCCTCCGAGGCACGGGGCAGGGGGCCAAATCTGCTGGACTATGCTGGAAGGGCGCCCCGAATCTCCAGAGCACAAAGGAACCTGAGCTCGAGGCGGCCAGCGGCGTGAGCCACGGCTGCCCCCCTTCCCTCCCACAGAGACAGCAAAGCCCTGACCCTGGGGGCCCCGATCTGAGCTGGTGCCCTCAGCAGGGGGCAGAGGGGGAATAGACACGGGGGCAGAGAGAGGGGAGGGGGCAGAGGGCGTACAGCCAACGCGCCTAGTAAGGACGCGCGCCTTCATCCAGGGTACCAATGTGTCCTTGCTCCTGCAGCCCGTCCTTTGCCGTTTTCACTGGTCGTCCGCCGCCCAGAAAATCCAAACTTCGGCCTCCCAGGGTCTTGCGTCCTTACCACCCGTCATTCATGCGCGTTTTGACTGTAGGCGTGAGGGGTCCATGCGGCGGGAGGGACGGAGGCGGGAGGGCGCACAGGGGAGGGAAGAGCAGGGAGCGGGAGTTGGCTCGGCTGGCTCCCGACGCGCGAGAGCTGGGCGTCCGACGAACGCAGGGAGGCGTGGGCGTGGGCGTGGGTGTGGGTGTGTGTGTGTGGGGGGGGGGGGGACGTGGGCGTGGGCGTGGGCGTGGGCAGTTTTGTCCGTGTGGGTGTGGGTGGTGGGTTCTTGCGAGGCGAGGCGGGGAGGCAAGAAGGGCAAAAAGTCAGCGGCAGGATAGACTACTGCAAGCTTTTCAAGCTTGAACGGCCCACCCGGAGCCAGAAGCCGACGCGGCAGCCGTCACGACGGGAAATAGTTGTAGTTGGCGCCCCGTTCCCCCCCGAGGTGGACTGCGACTGCGGCGCAGAACTGCTGACGCCTTGCTGCAAGGAGCGTCTTGCCGCCGCCGCACACGGCGCGGTCGGGCCGCGTGGCGGATGTCGTCGCTGCTGTCGTCGTTGGCGTCCTCGCCGTTGTTCTCATCGGCGGCGTCCTCGTCGGCGTCGTCCCCGTCGTTCTCGTCGGCGACGGGGAGCCGCGGGGGCACAGGATGCGCGATAGAGACCGCACGGGATTCTTACCCTCCAGTCCCTTTGGCTTGCGGTTTCGAGGGGAGGAGGAGGCGGAGGAGGAGGAGCAGGAGCAGGAGGAGCAGGAGGAGCAGGAGGAGCAGGAGGAGGAGCAGGAGGAGCAGGAGGAGGAGGAGGAGGAGGAGCAGCAGAAGCAGGGAGCGGGAGCAGGAGCAGGAGCAGGAGCAGGAGCAGGAGCAGGAGGAACGATGAGTCTGGAGGGAGTGGTTGGACCTCTCCCTGGAGTGGGGATACGAGGCGCGTGCCGAGGCTGGCCGCGCTCCTCCCCCCCTCGGGGAGGTGGGGCCCGCGCTCGGGTCCAGCCCGCCACCAGCTCCGGCCACCCCGCCGTCTGCTGCCTCTCGTCCCTCCCGTTCCTTGGCATCGCTCGGACGTGTGCATTTTTTCCCCGGCGAGGACCATCGAGGAGCATCCTCGGCCATCGGGCCAACAAGAGCATTTTTGTTTGTGGTCGACGGCTAGAGGCAGGGGTCGTCTGCGCTGGCGGACGAAGCTAGCTCAACGGGGGTACCGTTGTAGCGATTTGAAGGCGGAAAAGGCGGCGGGGAGAGAGGAAAACAGAGGGGAGAGGGCCGCTCAGCGGGACGAGTCACGCCCAGAGCGGCTGGCGGCGGGCGCGGCCGGCCCCGCCGGCGTGGGGTGGCGGCTGGCGTGGGGTGGCGGTTGCTGCGCCCGGGTTCCAGCGGCGGCGGTGCCCATTGGGCCAAAAAAACATTCACGAAACCGCCAGATGCACGGGGAGTGGACGTCCGAACGATGGCAAGGTTGGCAGGTCTTCCACTTCGCTCCAGGGCTGAGCCCAAACGCTGTTTTTTTTCTGGACTTCGGCTGTGTTTTGTTTCTCGTTTGGGGGAGGAGGTACAGGAAAACAGGTAGAGCAAAACGAATAACGAAACGAGAACAGAACGAAGAGCAACGGTTAGGTCCAGCCCTGCTTCGCTCCTCCCGCAGCCTCGGGCCACCGGCCCAGCCAGGAGCTCGGGCTCGAGTTCAGCGAGCCCCCCGCGGACACCGCCGCGAACACCGCGCTCACTTCCCCCGGAGGCCCAGGGAAGGGGGAGAGTTGGGCGTTTCGTAATGGGGAGGTCATAAATGGGGGGGTGGCGAGGGTGGCCCGAAAAGGTACCCAAACGGTACCTAAACGAGCACCCTGGGGCTCTGGAGGGGCCCGAAAGGGGCACGAAAGGGGACCTTTTCTGACCCCCCCATTTGTGACCCCCCCATTAAGCCACGCCCAAGAGAGGAGGGGAGTTGTTTGCATGTCTTTGGGTCTTTCGTCGCCGCAGCTGGGTCGGTTCCGCAGTCCGGTTCAGAACGCGCTCCAGGACAGGTCTGGTGGGATAGGGACGGGAGGAGGGCAGAAGAGGGTGCAGGAGGAAAGGTGGCAAAGGACTCGGCCCAGGCACATGGCATGAACCCAAGTTGTTTGAGGCAAAATGGTTATGGATAACGGAGGAGCAGGTGGAACGAAAACACAGAAAAAATGTGGCAAGGGACCCAACCAAATGCAGTTGTGAGAACCGCGTTGTGGCACCGCTTTCGGTGGAGCTCCCTTTGCGGCCACGAACCGTGTGAGGGGTGCGCCACACAGGAACGGCGCCGAGATGTGGACCCTGCCATTGGGGCCTTCGGCTGAAATCCCGATGGGGCCACGAAGCGTGTGAGGGGTGTGCCCAAAGGGGGCTGCGCCGCCATGTGGACACTGCCACCGGGGCCTTCGGCTGATCCCCCTACTGTGCCACGAACCATGTGAGTGGTGCGCCAAAATGGGGCGGCGCCGCCATGCGGACCCTGCCGCTGCTGATGATGCTGATGTTGTTGATGCTGCAATTGTTGCTTGTGATGATAATGCTAATTTCGAGGAGGAGGAGGAGAAGAAGGAGGAGACGGGCGGGGAGAGGGAGGATGGCGATAATGAGGTAAACAAAAAATAAAGGCGCTTCGGGGGCAGGTCCAAGTCAATGTCTAGACTCTCATGGGCCCCTGCGGAGGAGGAGGAGGAGGAGGACGACGACGACCACGGTCAGAGAATGAGGGGAAGGACAAGCAGGAAGAACAGGGCGAAAGGCGGAGGAGGAGAAGGACGAGAAAGAGGACTCGGACGAAGACGGGGGAAGATCAGGGGGGCAGGAGAAGTAGGAGGAGGAGGAGGAGGACGGAGGAGAATGCGAGTACGGAGAGGAGGAAAAGTCATTGGCTAAGAATGAGACGGATACCAATCGTTGCCATTTGCTCCACGTACAGATGTGAAGGAGGTGTCGGGTTGAGGCTGAGACGGTCGTCTTGTGGAGGTGGCGGGCGGAGGGATTCTTCATTGACCCCATTTGGGAGCGGCGGGCGCCAGCGCGTGCACGTACAGACCCCACTGGACCGCGTCTCCAGGCATGCGTAAGTGATGAGACAAAGGCGCATGGGAGTTTCGCGTCGTGTCGACCGGCGGCGACCCCGCCGCCAGCGCTCAACGTTGAACGCCGCCAGCGACCCAGAATCGGTCGATGTTGAACGATCTGACGTTTCGGGAGCGGCCGATCGTTCAAGGTTGAACCAACGCCGAAGTCGACACGGCACGAACCTGCCGCGCGGCCGCCCAACACTTCCAAGGCTCCTACTCCGTGTCGCCCGCCAACAGCGACCGGCTCCAGGGCATGAGGCGGGCCGCTGCGCCGCTGGGGGGGGCCGCCGAGGCCCGAGCGGTTCGGCTGGGCTGCGAGACGCACGCCCGAAGACAGGAGCGGAAACGGCGCACCCGGGTTCGGCCAGAGAGGCTGATTTTTGGGACAGTCGACAATTGGTGCGGAGAGAATGGGCACAATGACCGGCAGCAGGTCTTGTTCATTCTGACAAGGATTCGCTGTCGGTGTCGCCGCGGCCTGTGTCCATTTGAGACTGAAGGCCGCCTGGCCAACAGCGATTGCTGTTGGTTTGGGACAACATTTGTTGTTGGGCATTGTACAGTTTTTTCCGTACCCATTCCGGGTGTCCAAAGATTCGTTCAGGGAGGAGCCAGGAGTCGCGCGGCAAGTGGCGCGAATTTGGAAGGCACAGGCGATGATGGCTGGGAACATCAGCCCCTTATCGCTCGCCGGTTTGCAGATCCCGCCCTGCCCAGGAACGCTTGGTTTCGCTACCAGGGACGTATCGCCAATCAATCGGCGACGCTCGTTGATTCCAGGTCGATGCTCCCCCCCGAGTCAGTAAGCACCCCTCATGCACGCCACTCGCGCAACCTCGCAGGAAACAGTGCTGGTTTAATTAAGTGAAGGGGTCGCTCCCCGCGAAGCTGCGCCCTTGCAGGAGAGCGAAGCAGAGAGCGCGCGTTGGTTTGAACAGCTCGCTTCTGCCCCGGGCATCAGCCCCCTCGTCATGATGGATTTGCAAACCGTCGGAGATCGTTGCGCCTCCTCGTTCTGTTCTCATCCTCTTCCTCGCCAAGCGGGCTGCGCAGGGTTAGGAATAGCCTTCCGTGTTCGCTTCTACGCAATCATTGTCGCACTTGCTTTTTCATTAGGGAACTCTCAGGAGGAGGACGATCTCATGAGGATGGGGGGGTGAGAAGAAGCAGAAGAGCAGGAGCGCGCCTAGCGCGCCCGCAGGCTCCCCGGCCAAAGCGCCGCCCTCCACGAGGCCGAGAAGTCGCGGCTGCAAGCGCTCGCCGACCAGCTGAGATCCCAGAGGCATCCCTCCCCCCTTGTGCGCCAGGGGAGGCTCACATGAGACGGCGGTGGGGACATGACCGGGGGAGGGGGACGTCACGCAGCAGCGCCCTGCGCGATGATTGTAAAGTGTCTGGGATTGTGTGGCCGTCCTCTCTCCCCTCGCCTCTCTCCCCCTCCTCCTCCTCCTCCTCGTCCTCCTCCTCCTCCTCCTCCTCGTCCTCCTCCTCCTCCTCCTCCTCACTATCATCTTCCTTCTCCTCCTCCTCCTCCTCCTCCTCCTCCTCCTCTTCCTCCTCCTCCTCCTCCTCTTCCTCCTCCTCCTCCTCCTCCACTCAGCCTTCACGACCGTACCACTGCACACTGGACAGGTTCCGCACGGCCACCCCTCCAGCTTATCACAGAGAACTATGAGAACATGTGTTCCCTCCGCGCTTTTGTTCCCAAGCCCTCCTGCGCTGGATTATCGAACTCATCAGAGCTATGTTGCCGCAATCTCCTGCCCGCGTGTCCCACGCGGACCCAGCAAACGAGACCTCGCCCTGCCTGGAAGCTGCAAACTTTGTCATTGTCGTAACTTTCGTGAGCTGCCCAGCGGAGTGGTCAGTGTGCTACGCGGACCCAAGCTAGCTCACCCTGCCCTGGGGACTGCGCATTGCGCAATTCTCGCCTTTTTCGCGGGCGGCTTGGAGGACAAGCAGAGTGGTGTCCCTCACGGAACTTCACGAGACCTCGCCATCCCGGGACTTTTTGCGAATTGTGCAATTATCAGTTTTTCATAGTTCATGGTTTATTGATAAGTTCAGCGGAATTGTTCCTAACCATCTTGCGGTGTTGGGTTCACGTTTTGAAGAGACAGCGCCTTGCGTCCTTTCTCCCGCTGCCCCCTCCCTCCCTCCTCCGCAGTTCGCATGCGCCTCCCCCGCCCAGTATAGCTCTTCGTGGCCCCATGGGGAGCTCCTCCGGAGGTCCCAGTGGCGCTGTTCGCATGCGTCCCCCCGACCAATTTCAGCGCTTCGTGGCCCCATAAGGGGCTCCACCGAAGGCCCCAATGGCGCAGTTCGCATGCGTGTACAGCGCTTCTTGGCCCCAGAGGGACGATCTACGCGATCAACGCGTTGTTGACGATCGGCGAGGGCACGCCCTACAAGGCGTTGCACGGTTGAGTACCTCTCATGCTCAGGGTCTTCGACATGAGTGGAGCTCTAGAAATAACGACGACGATGGGTTCGCTATCTTCAGATATTCTCAGCGACATCGGGAATTAGCTACAACCTTGACTATCGAGGCGAAGGAGCAGGAGAGAATGGAGGGAGAGTCGAAGGCAAGATCGGCGCCAGCAAAGGAGGACCTGAAGCTCGAGATCGGCGACCTCGCAGACTTCTATAAGCCGGGCAAGGCCCCGAAGGATGCGACGAATTGGAAGGGCCCAGCCAAGGTGGTCTTAGCAGCGGCGCTTGAAACGGACACGCTGACCATGCACTCGCAGAGCAGGGATCTTGCCGTCGAGGCCACGGATGTCCGAAGAGCGATCTTGTTCGCCTACGCAGCGTCGTTCATGGTGACCGAAAGCAGTCCCGCTCAGGGTGATCATACTTTTCGCGCACGACATGAGCGAGGGTTTTGAACGCATGTGTTGGGCGAGTACCTCGACAGGCTGGGCGCTCACAAGTGGCATCTTGCGGACTACATCTGAATGGAGTGGCAACGGCCAGAGTGGGCAAGAGGGCACCGACCCTACCTGGACTCCACGAATTCGAATTCTCCACGACGCGCCAATGGATGGCCAGGAGACAAGGACAAGAAGATACTGGAGTCAAGGCGACGCGCTACGACGAGGGTTCGGCTTCGGGGCAGTCGGTCCTCAGGCAGATCTTCGGCGAGAAGGACATGGGCGCCACTTGCATCGCGAGTTCCGCACCGTGGAGCCAGACGCGCTGGACGTCTTGCAGGGGCAGGCGCCCCAGGCACCACATGTTGGCGGACCTCACTTACCTGGCGCGGACTCCTGGCGTCGCGGACATCGCCAGATCGCCAAGCGCCCGCCACCTACGAGCTCGCAGGGACCCGAGAGCCCAGCGGCCCACGTGGGGAGGAGGCTCGAGGACGAGCCACCCGAGGCGCCACCGGCGCCGCCTGCCCCCCCGCCCAGGCTTCCGCAGCCCGCAGGCATGGCACCAGCTGTAGCAGCCGAAGAGGAGGCCAAGGAGGACGAGCCGAGGGGCGAGAGCTTGGACGAGCCATTCTCAGTAGAGGCGCCGCGGTCGATACCGAAGGACAGCAGGGAGGCCCCAGGCGAGGACGACATCATGGAGTTGGCGAGCAACTTGACAAAAGAGCCAGACATCTCAGTCGTCGACAGGAACGCGGCGATCATGGACTACGACGAGATGGACGCCTGGGTTTCTCAGGAGACGAAATACGGCAAGGCGACGGCAGAGACCCTGGAGTGACTGCAGCCCGAGGAGGCGGCGCAGAATGGTTTCGCAGTGGAGGCCTGGAAGATGCCCGGCGCGCCTCGCATGGCGGGAGACCCCGCGCGCGGCGACGACGCGGTTGTTGAAAGTTTTGTTGCGAAGACGGCTCCGCGAAAGCAATTATCGATGAAAGACGACCAAATGTTGACATTTACCGAAGAGATTGAACATCGAGAAGCAGTTCGAGCAGCCCGATTTAAAGGGCTCCGTCACTGGGCAGGCCCCCTGGCCATGTCGAGGACATCGGAGGAACGCAAACAACCTGATCGACGCCAAGTGGGTGGAAAAGTGATAGACACTGAAGCACCAGACGGCACGATGACAATAATCAGATGTCGCAGGCTGACGGTCCGCGGATTCGAAGAAAGGCGCAAAGATGAGCTTCAGACTTTCATCGCGACGACTGCCAGGTGGGGTCAGACGATGGCGAGTATCCGCGCAGCTCAACATCGATGGAAGGTATGCAGTGCGGGCATAGATTCAGCTGTTCTTCCAGGGGTGACACGCGAAGAGGCATCGACGCTGCTGAGCGAGCCTACTCATGACAGATACTTCGTGTTGCCGAGGGGAGCAGCCGAACTGCGATGCGAAGCTGAGGGCTTCGAAGGGTTCAACTGCTTCATGGAAGACCTTCATTTGGAGAAAGGAGATTTGACTTCAACGGCGCTCCTCGACGAATTGGCCTCCGCCGAGACCTGGCGCTGCTATCCGGTGAACTTCAAAGTGCCCACGCAGACCTACATCCCGATGATTAGATGCGCGCGGGCACGGACGCAGCGACCAGCGAGATGAACCAAGCGTTGGAAGCAGTCTTCGGGAAGATGGCGAAGCACGGGAAGATCTTCGTTTACTGCGGGTTTCGCCACCCGCAGTTAGAGGACAAGAGTATAGAGGTAGCCCAGGTCGTGCACATCAAGAACCTGCACTGCAGTGACGAGAAGGGGTTGCAGTAGCAGCCCCAAGACGCCGTGCCACCCGAGAGGCGCATTTGTTTGTATCCTTCTTTGTTGGGTGCCATAACGTGGTGTATCATGACGCGCGTCGACAGATGCATCTATGCGACGGCGCTGGAGAGGCGTGATTCGACCCCCCAAGTTGGGCACATCAAGGGAATCAAAGCTGTTGAAGCACATGCAGGAACATCCTCCGAGCACCCGTGCCGATCGATTTCAGCGACCGCTCAGACTTACCACAGCTGAAGATGCAGCGTTCAGAAGAGAACCCGCCGACAAAAGCCTGGCCATCAGAGGCGCAGTATATACTCTGATCGAAGCTCGAGAAGGCCCAGGCGGCACGTGCAACGAACTGGAATAGTTATCCAAAAAGCTAGCACATGTTGTGCGATTCGCCAGGGGCGCAGAGCTATGCCAGTTGTCCGATATGCGTGACTGTTGTTTGCTGCTGGCTGGCTTCCACGGCGCGGTTCAGCTCGGCGAGATGAGCGCGAAGCAATTCCGTGATATTTCGGATGGCGCTGAGGACTGCGAGGTGCTAGCGGTAGACCTAGAAGCTCGCGTGGACGCCACGAGTGTGTTTGTTGGGAGCACGGCAGAGCAAGTGCGCACACCAGCGGAGAGGCGCAGGTTACATCAGGTCGTTATATCATAGATCGCAGGGGGGCGAAGAAGTTGCGGTGAATCGGCACGAGAAATTGTTGTGCAGATCGACTGACCAAAGGATCAGTGCTACGAGACGCTTTGAGGAGCGTCGCATTCGGCGCATGGCAAGTGCTGCACCCGTTCAAAGCTTGGGAGTCTGCTGGAACTGTGCTCCGGGGTGCTCGGACATTGCCAAGCACCGACTGGAGACGAGACCGGGCTTTGTTGCGACTTGGTTTTCGCAGGCATAGTGGTGGCGGAGGTCATACGTACGGCTTATTGGTCAGGACCTGTCGTCGCCACGAGACCCGACTTCCTGGCACAAGCCCCTTGGGGTTGCAGCCTTGCTGGTTATATGACGACCTCCGTTTAGGAGGCGGGCAGTCGTTGCCGCACGCGGCTCATATGCATGATGAGTCGGACTAAGAAGACGGATCGGTCGTTGAATTGGCTGTTCTCGGTTGGGGACGGTTTCGCATATCTGTTATGCGTGAATTGCCAGTTGGAGATCAACGACGCGACCATGACGACTTCGCGGCCGTCGTGGCTCATGGCCGCCTGAAGGACCGCGCCCAGGAGCGCGCGTGGCCCCGAGGGCCCGGGATGGAAGGCGAGGTTCGGCGCTTAGGAAGAGGAGGAGGAGGAGGAGGAGGAGGAAGAGGAGGAGGAGGAGGAGGACACGGAAGAGGAAGCACAAGGGGCAAAGCAATAGGATGTTGTGTTGTCGTGCTGTGCCTTCTCTGAGGCCTGCTGGCGGCCCTCGTGGCCACGGCTGCGCGCAGCTCGAAAAATTTGGCAGGATAGTGACTGGGAGGGGCCCAGGGATCAATTTGCGGACTTCCATGGCGAAGAATGGGGATCAGGACGACCTTTTTTCGTGGGTGGGGTCCTAGGCGTTGTCGGGCCGTGGGGTATTTTCCATCGGCTGCGCCCCGCGAAAATCGTACGAGGGTGCCTAGAATTGTCCCGAACGTCTGCATGGGTCCCGAAATCGAAGAGCTGCACTTGCACAACAAGCCATTCACGTTAGAGATTACCTTGACCTCCGGGCGTCGTAAAAAAACGCGGGCGTTGTTTTGTCCGCCCTTTTCAATCACGTGATAGTCCAACGGCCTCGGATGCCGGGGCAGGGCTCAGAGGAGGGCGCGGAGGAAGGAGGGAGGGGGGAAGAGGGGAGGGGGGAAGGAAAGGAAAGAGAGCAGGAGGGGGGGAGGTGGAGGGAAAGAGGAAGAGGGGGCGTCCCGATCCCTCCCTTCCCTCCTCAGCGCCCCCCGCTCCTCCCATCCTCCGCTTCCCCCGCCTTCTTGGTCTGCGCCTTCCTCCCCCAACCCCTCAACTTCTTCTTCCTCTGCCTCATGATCAGGTCAGGAGGCCGTCACAGCCTAATCTCCTCTGGCGGCCTGGCCTGGCACGATGGGTGGTTCGTGTGTGCTCAGCTTTCCCCCTCCCTCTCCCTAATCTGTGCAGGACTGCTGGGTCACCGCGTGCACTCTTCATGCTTGGTGCCCTAACATTTGCTTGAGTTTGTCGTGGCGCTTGCATCGGGCACCGTCTTAGATGCGCCCGATCCCCAGGAAAGCTCGTTGTCCCCGTACCTCGTGCCACCTGGCCGTGATGTACCTCTGGCCCCGAGAAAAAGGGTCATCCGGGGACTACCGTTTTCAGAGGTCAGGCTTGTCCGATCTTCCCTCCTCCTCGGGCAGGAGTCGCGAGCTGTGGAAACAAGGATGTGCCTTGCTACAGGCTGCGTACGATTATCGTCACCACCATCATCAGCATCATCATCCTTCTCAACCCCACCCTCCTCAACCTCCTCCATCTAGGTTCCTTCATTGTTTTGCGCGCTCACCCCCTCGTCTTCCCTCCATCCACCCCCTCCACTCCCAGAGAGCGCGCCGCTGCGAACGGCCGCACCGCCCCTCCCAGGGACCGCTGCGTCGTGCTGGGCGGCGTCTCAAGGGCCGCCCGCAGGAGGAGGATCATGAGGAAAGGAAGGTAAGAGAAGGGGAGACGGAGGTATCGAAGACGCCTAGGGCGAATCGCTGCCGCCACATGCCGTTTTGGGCACGCCTGTGTCGCGAAATGTCGCGCCAAAGTGCGGCCACGTTTGTGGACTGCACGTTCCGTAGAAAGGCATCACGGCAACGCCCCTCTCGCAAGAAAAAGGGGGCGGTGGATCGAAGACGTTCACGGCGAATTGTTGCCGGCCCTTGCCTTTGGGAAACGCTTGTGCGGCCTATCGTTAGGCCGAAATATGGCCAAGTTGTTGGACCATGTGTTTCCCCCAGACGTTGTGGAATCTGTCGGGGCAACACTCGGGAGAGCGAGAGAGAGGAGCAGGAGAGGCAGCAGAAGGAGGCAGAGAAGGAGGAGGAAGAAAAACGGGAGGCGTCTCGAGGCCCTTCGGAGCTTCCTGGGGGCTTCCTGGGGGGTCCTGGAAGCCGCTTGTGGGTTTTCTGAGAGCCTCTGCGGGACCTCCTGAGGCCTCTTGAGGGATTCCTGGCGCCTCCTGAGGGCCGTCGAGAGCCTCTCGGGAACAGCGTGGTTGTCGGAGGACGTCTTGGGGCCCACTCTGGGTAGTCAACGGGTCCCTCTTTGGGCGCTTTCGGGACGTCTCTCGAGACAACAATGAAGTTCGATTGAATAAGCAAGGTTGGAAAACATCCTGCCAGGGCACTGCAATACTTGATGCCACAACTGGGCGGATCGGATGCGATAGGCAATGGGGGTCTGTGGCGCAGTCTTGGGGCTTCTTGGGGCCCTTTTTCGGCCGTCTTGCGGGCTTCTTGGGGGCCTCGAGGGCCGTGCTGGGGCAACCTTGGGTGCTCGTGGAGCCGTTTTGGAGCGCCGGGAGCCCGCAGGGGCGAGAACGCTAACATCACCGAACAACCGCAGCAGCATCAAATGAGTTTGGCTTCCTGGGGGTGCTCTTGAAGCCCTCTTGAGGCGTCTTGGGGGCCTCCTGAGCCGTCTGGAGCGCATCTTGGATCGTCTTAGGGCGTTGTTCGAGGCGTCTTGGGACCATCGTGGGCCCTCTTTGGACAATCTTGGCTGCCTTGGAGCTATCTTCGAGAACATCTTGGAACAGTGTTGGCCGTCTTGGATGCAAGTTGCCCGATGTGTTCCCCCAATTCCCGCGTTCGTCCGCATCCTCCCGGGTGGCTGGCGGGTTGGGCCGACGGTCCCCTAGAAATGTTCGAAAGAACCAAAGTTACCCAACGCTGCCGCGCCGTGCACCCTTCTGGCAAGCCACAGGGAGGGGGCGGATCGAAGACGCCTACGGCGAATCATCGCCGCCCCCTGTCATTTAGGATACGTTGGGCATAGTTTGGCCACGCGATTGGGCCGCGTTCCCCCAGCCGCTGTGGAAGTTCTTCGGAGAACACGTGGGGGAGAGAGGGAAAGAAAAGGAGGAGGAGGAGGAGGAGGCGGAGGACATCTCTTGGAAGCCTATTGGGTCATTCTTGGGGCCTGGGAGTTTCCTAGGGACATCTTGGAGGCCTTTTCGGAGCCTTGGGGCCTTGGGGGCCTCTTTGGCCATCTTAGAGTTGGGGGCCTCTCTGGGCCGTCTTGGGGTTCTCTTGGGGCGCTTTAGAGCTTTTGGAGGCAATCGTAGGCGTCTCGGAAGCCTCTTGGGCCGTCTTGGGGCCATCTTGGAGCGGTCTTGGAAGCCTCTTGGGCCGTCGTGGGGCCATCTCGGAGGCCTCTTGGGTGATCTTGGGGGGCGACTTGGGCCGTCGGAAGGCCGAAAAGAAGCAAATCAGGATTCCTTCAAAAAGTATGAGGAAATCAGTGAGTTGGGCATCTTCGAGCATTATTGGAGGACCTCTTAGAGGCTTCTTGGGCCATCTTTGGGGCCTCTCAGGCGCTTCTGGGGCCGCCTTGGGCTCTCTTGAACCGTCTTGGCGGTATTGGCGGCTTCTTGGGACTGTCTTGGAGGCCATCTTGGGGCTATCTTGGGCGTTCTTAGGGGCCATCTTGGCCGTCGTGGAGGCATCGTGGCCGTTTTGGAGGCCATGACAAGCCGACGGGAGGGGCAGCAGGCGCGTTGGGCCGACGCCCCAGGGGGGCTCTGGAGGGGGAAAAAATAACATCCAGCACACCAGGCCCCGACCCTGTGATAAATCGACAGGGGGCGGCGGATATGGTGGCATTCGGCCCATCCCGCCACCGCGCCCAGGTCGTAGATCAGCGGCCTCTTGGGTGCCCCTTGGGGCTTCGTTGGGGGGCCTCTTGCGCGCCCCTTTGGGTGCTCAAAGTGGTCTCTTCGGGGCCTCTGTGGGGCCTGCTGTCTGTGTCGGGAGCCATACCAGGGCGGAGGACTCTGGATTGCAGTTCGAGTTTCTCTTCTGGGGCCTCTCCTGGGTTTTGAGAGGGAGGGTCGTTGGATGCCCCCTTGGGCGGGTATTCGTTGCTTGCCGAGTCGCCCTGGACGCTCCAAGGAAAGCAAACACGCGAGAGCTGCGCACAAACCTTACATGGTTCAACGATGTTTGCCTCTCGGGCTGGCCCCGAGAGCCTCCAAGACCCCCCAAGGGGGCTCCTGCATGTACCCCTGGGGCCATCTTGGGGCATACCAGCGGTTCAGACCCCCAACCACGCTCTTTGGGTTGCTGAAAGAATCGCACGGGAAATCCCAAGAACGCGGAAGAGCGCCCAGACGCGCCCAACACATCCAGGAATTCATGGTATGGGCCCGTACGGAGCATATATTCAGCATCTGGAGGAGGAGGAAGAGGTGCCTATCATTTCTACTTCATGCCGTGCGCCTCCTTTCTTGCTCCGCCCTCGTTCCTCCCCCTGCTCCTCCTCAACTTCTCTCCCCCATCCCCCACTATTGCTCCTCTATTCCCCCCTCCTCTTCTGAGAGGCGGAGTCCACTTCTCTTCTTCCTTCCCTTAATCTTCCTTGCAAGTTGTAGGCTGTAGCTGGTAGTTCGTTGATTTCCTTCGCTCGCCCTGATCATTCCCACTTCTCATCGCCATCATATGTTTCATCATGGCTTTGAACCTGTCGGGCTGGTTCGTCTTCCTCCCATTCCGTTTCCTTCTCATCATCATCAGTTTCGCCCTTTTCGACCAAATCCACCCATCATCGCAGCCACCACACCATTATCATCATCGTCATCATCATCACCACCATCATCAACATCATCAGCATCATCAGCATCATCATCATCATCATCATCAAAGAGTCATCATCAGCAGCAGCATGATCATCCTCAGCAGCATCAGCGTCAGCATCATCATTACCATCATCATCAGCATAATCAGCATCACAATCATCATCCTCATCCTCCTCATCATCATCATCATCATCATCATCATCATCATCATCATCATCATCATCATCATCATCTGCTTTCAACGTCGGGCCCTCCGTCCCCTTCCCGTCCTCCCCTCCCACTCCGCCCATCTGATCATACGCGCGTTTCTTCCCCTCCCCCTCCTCACACCTCCCTCTCCCCGCATGCCTCCTCCTGGCCCTCCTCCCCCCCCCTCTTCTCCTTCGTCCTCCGCCCCTCTGCAGGCAGGGCTGCAGCTCCTCTGCTGCGCGCTCGCCGACCACGGCATGCCCCCGCTCTACGCCGCGGCCAACTTTTTTTTCCCGGAGTGGACCCGCCCGCGCTTGGTCCCGCGCGAAAGACAGAGAGACAGAGAGAGAGAGATGTGTGTGTGTGTGTGTGTGTGTGCCGGGCATGGCTCCGCGGAGCAGGACGAGGAGGACAAGAGGAGGAATGTTTGATCGAGGATTGAGGCTTTTTCGTGCGCTACCTGTTGCTGTCTCAGATTGCGGAGGGCTCCAAAACCCTCTGGAGGCCTACGGGGGCTTCTGAGACCTGAAGTGGCTCAACCAGCAGGAGCAATTCAAAAGGGCAGGAACAGGAGGATGAGGAACAGGGTAGATCTCAAGTATTGGACAAGAGCTGGAAACCTGCACAGGACATCGACGATGCCGCCCAGTGGAGACCGCGGGAGTGGAATCACATCGCTTATCGCAACGTCTCAGGGGGCAGGCGGGGGGCCAGCACAGCTGACTATGATAACTCGGTCTCAGTCAGCGGGACGTGCAGCAACGCCGCGAAGCGGCCTATAGGAAGTACGTTTTCAACCACACGCTGCACGAGGGCCCCGACGGGCCAAAGATATAATGTAATTCATCGGGAGGCCGATTGAGATGTGTATAACCTCAACCAAATCACAACAATCATCAAAAACTCGAGTTGCGATCGGCTTCAGAATATTCTCATTCCCACGTGTCGTGAGAGCAGGGCTGGGTAAAGCGTTCAAAGGGGGGGAAAGCTTGAGCGGACACGAAAGACAGGCAGGGCAGGAGGAGGAGTAAGACCTGCACTGCTATCTTACACGGCCCACCCCTACCACACCACCCCGAGACGCGATCAATTAAGTTTGGAAAACGATCATTATCGCAACGTCTCAGGGGGCAGGCGGGGGGCCAGCACAGCTGACTATGACAACTCGGTCTCAGTCAGCGGGACGTGCAGCAACGCCGCGAAGCGGCCTATAGGAAGTACGTTTTCAACCACACGCTGCACGAGGGCCCCGACGGGCCAAAGATATAATGTAATTCATCGGGAGGCCGATTGAGATGTGTATAACCTCGACCAAATCACAACAATCATCAAAAACTCGAGTTGCGATCGGCTTCAGAATATTCTCATTCCCACTTCCGCATCTGATGTGCCTGGCGTAGCCGAAATACTTCAGGTTGTAGTCCAGGGTGGGCGGGCGGGGACCACAACGTTCTCATCATGCGATCGGCCAAGAGCATATCGGGGTGGTGGTCGCGCCCGTAGGCCACACACCTCTAGGGAGCCCTCGTATGGCGCCCCTAGCCACCCACTCGGGCGCCCCCGCTTGGCCTGTCGCTTTACTCTCTCCACCATCCAGTTGTCACGAGCTCCGTGGCGACCTCTTTCACCTTCTTCATCTTCATGTTCGTCTTGTTGCTGTCGACCAGCTGCCTCTGCTGCTTGCTGTAGTTGGTGCGGGGCCCCCCCAGCTCGGGAAGTCTCGGCATCCAGGCCGTCCCGCTCCTGCCCGTAGACGTCGTACTGCATGAGGGTCCCGATGGCTTCGTCCAGGAGCCCCCCCTCCAGAACGTAAGCGGCGATGGCGAAGATGGCCTCCGGCCCCTGGCCTCCCTCCACAGGGACGACCAACGTCTGACAACTCTTTAAGCTTCGCAAGGCCAAGGGGAGCTGGCTCCTCAGCTCAGGCCAACTCCCCAGTCGCCCTGACAAGACGATCGACCCCCATATGGGGTGGAGTCGGTCTCGGTAGCACTTCATGTCCCTGTAGTCGGCCAGGGCGTGGCCCATGGCGCTCTTGCACCGAGGCCCCCAACCCTTGTCGACGTGGCTGCTGAGAATATCCCGCACCTTCGGGGCCCACTGTACCGTGATCACGTCCGCCACGAGACGGGTGAGTCGCCTTGTGGAGCCGCCCTCGCGGATGCCCAGGTGCGTCTCCTTCTCGTAGTTGTCCCACGCCTGCGGCCCCCGCCTCTGCAGGGGAACGTCTCCTGCCGTGTGCGGTTTCTGGCGAATCGCTCCGATGGGGTGGATCGCCTCCAATGCCAGGGCAGCTAGCCACCATCGTATCCCGTACCTGTGTGGCCCAGGTCGCGTAGACTGTGAGGTCGGCTGTCCGTCGGAGCGGGGTGTCGGTCGCAGTGGGCTGCCACCGTCTCGGGCGCTGTTCCCAGGGGACCTCCTGGAGAGAGGCCTTCGGCGACGTCTAGCTCCAGCGGGACGTAGCGGTAGTGCCCGCGGCCCAGGCGCAACAGGGCTGATGAGCTCTAATGGCCTTCGCCTGGGGCTCCCTGGGCCGCCATGCCGTTGGTGAAGCTCGGGACCTTCAGCGTCCGCCTCCGCGGCGATCTGGCCAGGTGTCGGAGCACGCCCACCACGGTCCGCATCTCGCTGGTGTTCGTGTGCTCCGTGCTCCTCCCCCTTCCGACGTAGAGTGGCCGCCATCTCGCAGGTGGCATCCAAGCATGGGACAGCGGGGAAGATCTCGATCTCCGCCCCTCCCGGCCTCGGCGGCCCGAATGGCGTCGTAGCTGGAGAGGCCCACGAGCATGCTGGATCGGGGCCCTTTATCTCCTTCGTCATGCGGGCCAACGCCTCGAGGATCGCCCTCCCTCGCGCGGCGCACCGCGGGGGCTGGAAAGCCTGGGCGGCGGCGGTGCAGATGTCGGGGCGGCCCCGCTCCACTCCCCCCTCGAGTATCGCTGGATGCCTCCCTCGGCGGTTGCCTCTCGGGCGGAGACGGCCCACGGCGAGGTCCAGTGCGTCGTCGTAGACCCCGAAGATGCCCTTCATGGTCGACTCCATCGGCGAAGCTCCGTAGCGGCCCTGGTCGATCTGAGGGAGCTGGCCGCCCGCCTCCTCGCCGAGGCAGGCCTTCTCGGGGGGGTTCCCGATAGCCGTGTACAGGTCCTCCTCTGGGTCCGCGGGGTGATCCGTCAAGCACAGGCCACCAGTTCGGCAGACCTCGCGGACCGCCTGCATGGCCGTGAGCATGAGGCGCGACCCAAGGTCCAGGCGGAGGTGCTCGAAGGTGGTGAGTAGTATGTCGCTCCGCCCCCAAGGCTCGAGGCGCGTCCGCGGGGGCCTGGGCCTCTCTTTCAGGAAGCACGCTCGACTCCAGGTAGGACATGGCGGCGGGGCAATCACTGCGTGGAAGTGCCCGTCGCGCGTCTGACCCAGAATCGCGCTGACCAGCTCGTCGTTGGGGCGGTCGTGCTTCGGCTCGATCACCGAGCCGATGGACCAGATCTGGATGTCGTAGCCGTCGCACTCCGCACGCGCGTAGATGGCCTCCTCCAGATCCCCCTCTCGGCGCCTGCCCGCGAAGAGGTAGAGCGCCTGGTCGACCCTCCGACTGACCCGCGGCGGAGGTGTAGCCGATGCATCGGCGAGCTCGTCCACGTCGTAGGTACGCCCCCAAACGTGGGGGACCCAGAGGTCGGTGGCGATCGTCAACCCTCTGATCTCGGTGTAGCCCGTGGCCGTCCTGATCTCCTCCAGCGAGGCCTCGGTGACTGCAACCCCGTGGCCATTGTCCTTGGAGTCCGTCATACCCGTCATAGACACCTGCGAGAGCCAGGGCGCCTCGAGGTCCGTGTGCCTGAGCGTGGCGCAGCAGGCCATCGTCGTCAGCCCCCACCTCGCCGCGTCTGGTAGGCAGAACGGCGTCCTGGCGGTCTCTGGGCGCCTCATCTCGCGGTAGATACGGCCGCGGATGGCGAGGCCCATGCGCTGAGAGATGGCCGCCCACGCCCACAGCTTCCCGGTGGCTCCGGGGTCCAGCATGTCCGCACCGCCAGCCCCAGCGCCGCCAGAGTCAGGCCACAAGTGCGATCGATTTTGGCCGAGACAGTGTAAGGTCGGCATCGAATGACCGCACCCCACGACTCGATCCCCTCGCCTTCTCTCTCCTGGTGGACGGGGAGCCCGACCTTCCCCAAGTAGTACTTGACTCGGGCCGTCAGCCTCCTCATGACCTCGCTCACTGGCTGCCGCCCGCTGGCGTACGAGGCCACGACCGCGTAGTCGTCCATGTACGCCCAGCCCCCTGACTCGAAATCGACGGGCCCGATCAACTGGCGCGTCGGAGCCCCGTAGACCAGGCGCGCATCCCCGGTGCCCGCCCAGAGCCTGCGCGCCGTGAGAGCCTTCGGCCTGGAGTAGGCCAGAGGCAGGGGCCACGGTCGGCCCTTGACCAAGACCTTCACCGCCAAGAGGGGCCCGCCACAGGGGATGACGTAGCCCTGCCTTGTGGTCCTCATGTAGTCGAAGAACTCGTGGAGGGGCAGCCCCTCCAAGACAAAGTAGAGCCAGACATCGGGCGGCGTCTCGAAGCGGTCGAACCTGTCGAGGATATCGCCCACCCCTGTGTAGACCACCACGTCCGCCTCGCCGAGATTGGAGAGGTCCAGGTTGGTCAGGGTCGCGGGGCTGCCCAGGGGCCCGTGCATGGGCGTCTGCCAGCGAAGGTTGGCCCGCCTCCAGTCCCAGATGGCGCGGACCTGGCGCCTGACGGGGCCGAGGGGGTCCGCCTCCTCCCGCTAGCACTTCTGGATGACCCCGAAGAGCGGCATGCCCTCGACCAGCTCGTCGGTGGTCCTCAGCATCCCTGCATCCCAGGGCTTCTCGACCAGGATGGGAAGAAATGTCCTCGATCGGAAAGACGAATCTCGGTAGACCTTTGGGCCCTTCAGCTCCTCTTCCGTGGCGGGGTTGGGCTTGCGTGGCATCCTTCCCGCACCGTCGGGGAGGTCCTCGGTGGCGAGCGGGCAGATGTCCACGGTCCTGGCAGGGTTGGTCTCTGGTGGCGGGCGAGCAGACTCCCCCGCGTCGACGGAGACCACCACGCCCTTTGGTAGCATCCCTCATCCCTTTGAATCCTTTCCCAGGGCAGCAAAAGCCCCTTCGCCTGAGCACGGCGAGGCCCGATCGGCCGTGACGCGCCAAAGGGCAGCGTCCTCGTCCACCTTGATCGCGGCCACCTGGCTGCCCCAAGCTAGCCACGCCTCCAGGAGCCTCCTCGAAGTAGCCCTCTGGAGCGGTGTCGCCCGCTCCCACGTGGCCGACGGCCCAGCGCCCTCGGCCGCCCCGGCCCTGCCCCGAAATGGGTGCGGCATGGATCGGAGCAGCCCGTCGGCTCGAGCTCACACACGTCGTAGTGCGCCTTGATGCATCGGCCCCGCGCGGTCCGCCACCACCGACCAGGGCAGCAGCGGCCAGCCCGGCAGAGGGCCTCGGTCTCGAGGAACGGCCTCGGGAGGAACGCCCGCGGCTGCTGCCGAGGTAGACGATGGAGAAACGTGTGGATGGAGAAAAACGGGCATGTCGTCGCCTCCCGAGGGATGCGGTGGCACGCGAAAATATCGTCGCGACCAACAAGATCACCACCACAGCTATCGGGAGAGTGAGCCCACAAGAGTGGCCGCCGTCAGAGCGGACGGAATGGTAAACCGCCAGCCTCTCCCTCAAGTGCGGGGGGGCCCGCAGGGCTCCACGGACGGGGGAGACCATCCCCCCGTCTGCTCGTCCTCCTCCGTTGCCGCGTCCGAGCCCTCCATCTGCGGATACGTATGTTGAAGAACCCTCTGCTGCAGCCTGGCCGTCAGGTAGCGCTCCACTCTCGTGAGCGCCTCCTCGCCCTCCATGAGAGACCTCCAGTCCAGCTCGTCCGTGGGGTCCCAGCACACCCTGGACATCCACTTGTCGGCCCCGCTGTCCCGAGGCTGCTTCCCGTCGATAATGCCTGTCACGTCCTCGAACGCCCGCATCAGCGCGTAGACTCGGGCGCACAGGTTCTCGTACCTCGCCGTCTGGCTGATCTCGGGCGAGGCCTCCGACCTCCGATCCAGCTTCATGCGGTGCAGCCTCATCTGGTGGCCGAGGCGGTCGCGACTCGGCCAACTGGGGCGAACCCAGTCCGTCGCAAACTTCCCCAAGCTGACGTCCGCCCCGTAGGTCTGGACCTGCAGCTCTTGCGCCACGGGGGAGGTGGTGCCCGCAAGGCGGGTGACGGTGGACAGCGCATCGATCTTCCCGAGGTCGGCCAGCGCCTGCTCCCTGGGGCCCCAGCATACCTTCATCAACGGCTCGGGGCTTCCCCCCGCGCCCACCAGCGTCTCCGCCGTTCCCAGGTCGATGGAAGGACACGTCGTAGCACCCGACGTGGCCGCCGTGGGCGACGCGGCCTGTGCGGGCGGGCCTCCCTGCGAGGCCTTGTCCGCCTTGCTCGTGTCCTCGAAACGCTTCAACCAGTCGATCATCCCGTCTACATGCCGGTCCAGGCGGGGCTCGGTCGCGCCACGGGATCATGATTTCCCGCTGGCGTGACTGCTCTCTCCAGGGGACGTTGACGACGAGGTGCTCTGACTCGTGCGGGCACGACGCGACCCCGACCGTGGATGGATGATCTTGTCGAACAGGTTGCTCCCCGTGGCTGGCATCTCCTGCATGCCCTTGGCTGGCATCGACTCGTCCGACGGACCCGCCCTGGAGGGGCCCGCCTCCCCGTCGCTGTCCATGGCGATCCCTGGAGGCGGTTCCCCCGCTAGCCGCGGCGATGACATCTGCCGGCAGCAACTCCAGAGACTTGGCCCGAGGGCCACAGACGCGGTGAAGATCATGATGGAAGTCTCGAGCCTGCCGCCAAGGTAGAGGTCGCGCCAGTCGCCTCGGACGTAGTCGGCTACGAGGAGCGAGTGGTGGCCATCCTCGAGCTCCTCCATCACCCATCGCATCCACCGCCACAGGTTGCCAGAGACGGCCACTCCCCCGGAGAGGATGGCGAAGCCCACCGTCGACCCCCAGCTCCATGTGCTTCACGCGCCAGCTAGCCCAGAGCGAAACCAGGACAGGGAGGCCCCATAGCCGTGAGCGCTGGACAGATACAGCTCGGCCTCGAGCGGCCTCTCCAGGGCCTTCTCCAGGACGCCCGCCCCCTCGTTGGCCGCGGGGGCAGGGAAGGATACGTAGTCCCAGCCAGGCCGCCGACGACTCGACCGCTTCGCCCGATCCTTGATGCCGCCCACCAAGAGGGCGTGGTCCAGCTTCACGTAGATCCCACTCGTGTCGTTCTTCTTCTTCGGGCACATCCGCACTTGCCCCCGTCACGGGGCCATCGTCCGATAGAAGCGGCTCCATCGTATCACGCTACACATGCGAACCCGCCGATAGTCGTGGGGGCTCAGCCGCTCCGACTCTCTCGTGTCCTTCTGGGACGCGTCGTCCTCGGGCTCCACCAGCGGCCTCGAGAGGGCCGCGTCGAGGACCCCCCAGTCCCCGATGTACGAGAGCAAGGCAGCGTTGGCGAACCACCACCGCCCCGCCGTGGTGCTGACGATCAGCGCCCGCGCCGTGAGCGCCCCAGTTGGTGGGGCGGAGAGGCGAGCGCGAGCTCCTGGCTCGAGAGACCTCGAGCCAGAAAAAGCTTGAGCGGACACGAAAGACAGGCAGGGCAGGAGGAGGAGTAAGACCTGCACTGCTATCTTACACGGCCCACCCCTACCACACCACCCCGAGACGCGATCAATTAAGTTTGGAAAACGATCAGGACTACTTGGTAAACCATGCGAGGGACAAGCGCGCAGCATGGCGCCACCCTGTTCACACCAGGCCACGTCCGTCTAGATCTGTGAGTTTGCTGCTACACGTCGACGGCGGGACCCAGACAGGCAGCCGCCTGGTACTCAGAGGGTGTTGTGTCACGTCGCTAACCCGACCCCAGCGACAGACTACCTCCGCACACTTGCACCGCCATGTCGTACTCATAGATCCACCAGACAATCGAACATTGTCCGCAGATCCACCCTGGTGTGTCTGCCGTTTGGCTCTTACTGCGCAGTCATCTCTGCTGGAGCGGCTTCGCATGTCGTTGCCCTTTGGGATGGCCAGGTCCTCCCTAGGGCAGAAGTGCGGTGGCTTCGGGGGGGGGGGGGGAGCTCCGTGCGCAAACGGCACAAAACGCATCGCATCTTGCGGGGCCTTCGTGTTGCTCGGCATGGTCCTCGAGGATTTGGAGTTTGATCAAGCAGGCGTGCAACGTGCCTTGTGTGCCATCCAATCCGCCCGCCCGCCCACCCAGCAGACAACGTACTGCGCGCCGCCCCAGCCACCACCGCTGCCACAGCGCACGCCTCTGATCGCAATTGTATGAAGGATCAATGCCTGTCCAGACTCGCACGCGCTGCAGCGCCGAAGCCGCACCGCTGTACATGATCATATGCGTGGCGCTCGCAGGCTGCTTGGGTACTTGCAGGGGCTGGCATTCGGTCGTGCATACACATGGTGATCGCAGGGGCCTGTGGCGTGTGCAACGTGTGACATCCTGCGTTGCGTGGTGGTCGCGGGCGCGGCGTGGTGTCAACAGGCGCATGTTGTGGCTCCGAGAGGCTCTTGGACTGCGCGCGTGCAGCTTCAGCTCGCAGGCATGTTACGGCATGCTGTTCGCAAGTATGTTGGCATGTGTTGGCATGCTGTCCGCAAGTGGTTTGGCATGCGTTGGCATATGTTTGGCATGTTCCGCACGGTACGGCGCTCACGACGTATCCCCTTCCCCCTTGGGAGGAGAGGAAGAAGAGGAGGAGGGGGAGGAGGGCGAAGATGGGAGGGGGCGAGGAGGAGGGGGAGCAAGACGGGGATGCAGTCGGACGACGAGGAGGAGGAGAAAGAAAACGCGCGCGGCGGTCGCAAGTATCTTGCGTGGACCTCAAGCAACGTACGTTTGTACAGGTTACTTGTTCACGCGGCGGTCGCAAATGGTGTGTTGTGCCGTCAGAACAGTGGTGGCGCGCGTCCTCCACGCCGCTTTGCTGGTGAATGGTCGGATTCGTCCGCGGAGGTAGCAGCCTTGTGCATGTTTGTGCGCACGTCTGGGGATGATTGGTTGTGGTGGTCCTGGCGGGGTCCAGCTTCGTTCGCCGCATGACGGTCGCAAACGCTATGTAGTTTTCCCTACTTTCCTGTGTGTTGGGCTTTCGTTTTGAGTCCGCAGCGACGCGCGTCTCCTCCTCCTCCTCCTCCTCTCTCCTCCTCCTCCTCGTCCTCCTAAACACGGGGCGCACCCTCACACAGTTCGTGGCGCCCAAGGGAGCTCCACCAAAGGCCCCCTGGCATGGTCCGCATGGCGGCCCCGCCCCATTTTGGCGCACCTTTCACACGGTTCGTGGCCCCGTAGGGAGGTCCACAGAAGGCCCTAGTGGCACAGGCCGCATGGCGGCCCCGGCCCCAGTTTGACACACCCCTCACACGGTTCGTGGCCCCATCGGGAGTTCCACCGAAGGCCCCAGTCGCACAGGCCGCATGGCGGCCTCGGGCAGTTTCGGCACAGCCCTCACGCGCTTCGCGGCCCCGTAGGGAGGTCCATTGAAGGCCCTGGTGGCACAGTCCGCATGGCGGCCCCGGGCCATTTCGGCACACCCCTCACGCGCTTCGTGGCCTCATGGGGAGATCCACCGAAGGCCCTAGTGGCACAGTCCGCATGGCGGCCTCGGGCAATTTCAGCACTTCTCTGGACGCGTGGGGGCAGCGAGGGTAACCAGAAGCGCCCAAAAGTGGAGACAAATGGCGCGGCACATAGGGGACCAAAGGGCGCGGCGGCGAGAGTAACCAGATGCGCGCTGGAATTAACAGAGAGGGGCGGAAACAGATGCAGGCGGAGGGTGAACGGGGAAGTGTTCTCAGTGATTGCGCGCGCGTGAATGCAGAACGTCGAATGTGTTTTTGGCGTGTTCGGCGAAGCGCCCAGAGGTGCAGTCAAAGTGCTCTTATGTATTGAGTGGTCCCATGCATAGTTGCCTCGTTTTGCGAATGGGTTTGGTTCTTCGCCAGGCTCATTTTTGCGCAGGCCGCGTCAAACGCAGACAGTTGTTGGGTTCAAAACCATTGTGCCGGCGATCGCACGCGTATGGCCGCGACCGCTAGTCATTTGTTGTATTTGTACGGCTGCTATGCTAGTGCAGTGGCAACTACAATGTCAGCAATATTATCGGCAGTAATTGTGGCAGACTGCTGTACGACGTTGCGTCGTCGTCGACACCTCGATTGCCGTCGCCGTCGAGCACCTGGCTATGTCTGCAATTGCCACGGCACGCCTGCGAACGATGAAGACACCGATGCAAACAGCAGCTGCAGCGGCGACGGCGACGACTGCCTCCGTGCGGCCAGGGTGTACATGAGGCTGGCCACCGCCAGCGTGGCTTCGCCTCGCCGGAGCCGCGGGGACCAGCAGGCCTCGGACCCCGCCTCCCTTTCATGTCGGGCGGCCTCAAGACGCTGTCGTGTCGGCATATTTCCCCTCCTGGGCATGCTTCTGCCTCCTGTTATTTGTTGCATCCGCGTCCTGTTCCTCGTGTTTCCTGCTTGACTTTCCTCTTCTTGTCCCCATCACATTCGAACGGTACCTGCCCTGCCCATGTCACCCTTTCCTTACGTGTGTCTGCTGCTGCTCTGGTTCAAGCCTGGCCAGGCGGCGCTCCCGCTGTAACATTTGCTACATCCGCTTTACGTTGCAGCGTACTGTAGAAGGTCCGATCTCTATCTAAATCCTGTTTTTTTTCTGGTTGGTAGCTGAGCTTCGGCTCGAATACCACGGTCGCAATGGTTTCTCGTGTTCGCTTCGCTTCGATAGCACAGGTTGCAATTCTCCGCCGTTCTACGTCCAGCTGGTCATTTCGCTGGACATCCGCCCTCATTCTCGCCATCGTGCACCTCTTCCCGATCACCTACGGACAACCACCCCGCCTACTCCAGGACCAGTGACCGGGAGCGTGCACAACCAGTACCACCACAGCGACGCGAACGAGACTTTCAAGGACTCCGGCCACGCACCTGGTTTCTTCGGCGATCCCTCCCAAGCTTGCACTGAGTGCGTCAGCGCAAGTCGCGGAACCTACGCTTTCGCTACACCCGTTCGTGGGATTAACCACGAATGTCGGACAGCTGCTCGTTACAACGTGGACATCTACGGCGTCGGTTAAGGGTCCCGAGGTTTTGGCGCCTGCGTCACGAGAGCCCTGGAGGGCACAGGCAGAGAAAAGCGGGGAGGCAATGGAGGGTCAGGGGATTGCGTCGCCAGCATTCCGAGGGACAGCGAAGTTGACTTGGGAAAAGCCATATTCGATTTCCTCGAGCATGACCTCTTGCCCGCAGGACTTGGGCCCCCGTGCGCACTCCTTTCGACGATCATGCACTCGGCGGTGCTCAGTACAGGGACAGCACGACGCATGAGGAGCATTCAGGTGATTGCGTCACGGGATGCTCCGAGCACCGAGAGCACCACAACGATGCGACGGAAGCATACGACTAACACACTGACGAGGAGGAACACATTCAGGTCAAGTATCCACGGCGTCTCGGGCGCACACTTCCTGAGCAGCGCCGTTGGTGGATCCCCGGCGCCCAGCATTTCTACGACACGGGAAGCCATCGGAGTGGGCATGATTGCCGTCACCAGCTGCTTGTCTTCCACGGACGCAGGCGGCGGCAGCGGCAACATGCGTCACCCCCGCACTTGGGGGGCCGAGCAACAAGCTCGAGTGCCCGTCCAGAGATGGGCGCGGATGCAGTGATCTGGTCAGCGGCGAACTCAGTCCTCAACGAGTTTCGCAGGGCGGCCCACGCCCCGTCGCGCCTCGCCGGCATAGCGCGCAAGCACGTGGACGGATGACCGCCAGTTGTTATCATCCAGGGAGAACTCATCAACGGCGACCCAGTGCCACCGACGACTTTCCTGGCGCGCAGTTTGGCCGAGGGGCGGGGCCAATTAGGCGAGGAGAAGCGCGCCTCGGCAACGACGGCGCTGATGAACTTCTGCCGGTCGCCGCAAGGGCGCATCGACAATCTCCCCATGAGGTTCAATTTCTTCCGAACTTGGGCGCAGCAAGCTGGTCAACTCACGGTCGGCCACGAGGACCTCGGGCCCCCCTGCCGCGCGCCGTCGGCGCGTCGAACACCCAGCTGACCGTGATCTTGCAGCGCTGCGATATAAACTATCCCGCGACAGCAGCACAGCTCACGCACGCGACGGGCCAGCTGCGGCGGTTCGGGCACACCGCCCAAGGGTCGCTCGGCAAAGTCGCCTCGACGGCCCACCCTGCCCAACAGCACGCCCCCTCCGCGGGCGCGCCCGCGCAAGATCAGGTCGTGGGCGCCTGCGGCGCTGCAACAGGATCAAGCTGGGACGGCACGGGCCCAGCTGCAATGGGAGCGGCACCGAGCCCACCAGCGCAGGGGGCATTATCAGCTGCGGGCGTCGACTCAGGCACTGACACCGGCGCCGCCAGCTCCTTCGGCGAAGATGTCGCCGCAGACGACCCCGAGCTCTGCGACGCCCCCGTGGAACAACGCGGCGCGCGCCTCTCCCGATCTGGCGAGCGCGCTAAAGCGCGCTGGCGCAGCTTCAACAACCACGGGCCCACGCGCCGCACCGGGGGGGCCATCGAACGACAGGGCAAGGGCCTAGGCGAAGGCCGCCTCGCCATCTTGTCCGACATGTCTGAGAGCGATCTCCGGGAAGCTCTCGCGGGCCCCGGGAAGGGGAAGGTCGAAGGCGAGAGGAGGTTCACGACGCGCGGCACGTTTCGGGCCGCCTAGGCAACCCCGCGGGCCTTGGCGGGGCGCGTCTCGAATGCCACGAGTGCGACTCTGAGGGGCACCGCGTGCGCGACTGCCCCCTGCGCCGCAGCCACGGGCGCGCCTTCTTCCCTAACACTAGCACCACCATCACCACTAGCACCACCATCACCACGAGCACCCTCGCCACCCATGCATCCGGGGCAGCAGGGGCCGCGAGGCCCATCCGAGCAGCAGCCCAGGCCGGGGGCGCGCGCAGCAAGGGGCATGGGTGACCGGGGACACCTTCGGAACTCCGCAATCCGCGGCCCTGGGCGCCAGGCAGGGCGATCCCGCGCGGGGCGCTGACCATTGGAGCGGCGACCAGCTGGCTCCGGCGGCACCAGCGCCGCGGCCCACAGCACCAGCCGCCATTCCTAGAGCGTCGCCAGACGGCTCTCGGCAACAAGTCGCCCGCAGCCATTGCCCGCGCTGGGTCGGCACGTCATCCTCATCTTCGTCAGCGCCTAGCCCTCGCGACGCTGAACAACGACTACGACGGGAGCTGGCAGAGCTCACGAGCCGCGCGCAAGACTCTGCGCCACCCGCGGGCCCCGCGACTGCGCCTCCGGTCCGCGCGGCAGCAGCGGGGGGGGCAGCACCAGCCGCGCCGGCATCACCGACTGCTCAAGCAGCTTCGCCAGCACCACCACAACCAACACAACCACCACGGTGGACACGGGTGGGCGGTACGTTTTCACTGAGGCAAGCCCAGGGGCGCGATTGTAGACGACCTCAACGCACGAATCGCCATGCTTTCGGCCCCGCCTGCCGACGCGCAGTTGCTGAGCTGGGCTGCACGCCGTCAGTCTCAGCTCTCGGCATCAGCACCTTCTGTGGATCGAGCTCCACGTGGCCACTGGAGTCCACACCGGCAGTCACGCCACCGCCAGTGCCAGAGCCCCCAGTAGCAGGCTCTGAACAACCAGAGCAGCCCCGTCAACATGAGTCAACCGGTAACGAGAGCGACCACGTGGCTCGCCAGCCGCGAGACCTGGATGGTCAGCGGCGTTCGATCTGAGCACAACGCGAGCACGCAGCAACGGCACCTCGACGAGCCCCACAGCACGCAGCTAGCACTTGAGCTCACGCGGCAGCAGTACGACCAGCGACGTCAGGCCGCACAGAGCTGGACAGAAACCCTGTATGAATCCCCTTCCCGCGCTGGCCGCTCCACCTGCCCAGCCCCCTCAGCCGCGGCTTTCACCGGCGAAGATAGGGGGTGTCCCATCTGTCTCGATGCCTTCCAGCACGGGGAAAGGGTGGCCCGCTTATATTGCCGTCACATCTTGCACGAGGCACGCCATCTGCAGCTGATGCAGAACACCGACATCCGTTTGGCCCACTGTCCAGCGCGCCGCGGCCTGGCCGACATCATCGCCGACGTCCGCTTCACTAGTGCAGATCGTGCGTCGGCGGGCCCGGCACCCGCGGCATCGGCCAGCGCGGCGGCAGACAGGGGCGCGCTGGAGGAGACCCCACCACGGCTCGACATCGCGCAGTCTTCTCGACCGACCCCTGGCCTAGGACGCCTCAGCCAGACCCCATGCAATCGCTGGGCAGCGCGTCTCGCTTCGCGTCCGCAGCGGACGCGGCGGTGGCTTGCGACGCCCACTTGGACTAGCACATGCGCCGCGCAGGCCGACGCACCCGCGGTGGCCGACTTCGTCGGGAACGGGCGCCGCGCCACCTGGCGAGCACCGATCTACCCCGCGGCCGCATAGACGTCAAAGTCGACACCGGCGCCTGGACGAACCTCTGGGGACTGCGCTTCGCCATGAGTTTGGCCCACAGGGCCCGGCAGAGGCTACAGCCCTTCCGAGGAGAAGTTACCAACCCCACCGTGCGCGGCAGGAGCTGGCAACGGGTCGCAAGCGGCGAACAGGGCCACTGCCCCATCGCGACGACTTCCCGCGACGGCACGACCAGTCAGCACAGCATGCGCGCCCCAGCCGTGGAGGGCATTGGCGTTGACCACGAACGCTTCACTTTCCTTGGACCAGGCGGCTACGAAATCAAATGGAGCCCCCACTTCGACCTGGAGTCGGCGCCGGGCGGCCACGCGCGCACCCCTGTCGGCGACCTCGCCAATCTTCAGCCGCGCTCCCGGGACTTGCCGCCCAAGCAGCTCGCGCTGCTGGCGGCGGGCAACGACAGCCAGGACACCACGCCACCGACGGCCTCGAGTTCCAGAGGCTGGAAAAACAGCTCATCAGCCCCAGTGGCCGGGCACCACTAGGCGCGTCCAGCGCCGCAGGCAACGACCTTCCACGCCAACACGGACGTCGGCATCGCGACCTTCGGTTGCGAATTATAGTCGACGGGCGCGGCGACCTTAGCTACCAGGCATTTATTTTCGCACTGCCCCAGGTTCAGGTCTCGCACTCACGGGCATCGATGTTGCGAGCGGCGCGGTGGACCCCGACTTCTGCGGCAAGATCAAGGAAATCATGGCGAACATTGGCCCTCGGAGGCACCCGGATGAGCAGGGCCATCGCATCGCCCTGCTCATCCTGGAACGCACCATCGACGATGCCGAGATCGCGGTCGCTCCCAAGTTTCTCCCCTCGCCTCGTGAAACACACCGGCAAGGCGTTCTTGAGCAAGGAATCTATCCCG